AGCTACTACTACATATGTAGCTACTGTTGCTACTTGGATCATCCGGCACTGATGTAGAGGACAGCAGAGCTTGGGGGAACATTCGTTGGTAGCGCCGGGCCGCTGGACCTGCCACTACCTTCCCCTCTCATCGTCATCGCCCAACCCGAAATTAAAGTGATCCGCTCCCGTGTTGATGACATCGCAAAGGAAAAATATATTTGGAGTTTGCGTGTCTCTCTCATCATCATCATCACGGTGACTAGGAGATGTTAACTACCTTGCCTGGTATACAGGAGGTCGTGGGTTCCGATTCCAACCCTGACGCCTGCTGCTGTATATTTGGAGTTTACGTGTCTCTGTCTCGCCCCGTGGTCACGTGGATTTTCATCCAGGTCCTCCCTTTTTCCCACCTCCACATTTAGAACCGACATAATCGCGTTTAGAATATTGAGCTGTTACTATAAATTTACACGTGATGGTGATAAGCCACTTCGTTGAGCTGCTGTCATTTGTGATAGCCAGGTCGCTTCTAAAATAAGTAATATTTAAAATAACTTTTTTTTCAAACACGCTTTAATGAAATGTACTGTACGAGTAATGGCAGAACTCCACGACTCCATGAAGTGGCCCCGAAGTTCGCCACAACGTCAGGGCCGTGGTGATTTACAGCCAACGTCAGTTGAGCGTGGACAATTAGACCCAAGCAGAAACATAACATATAAAAAATTATGTTTAAAAATATATTTTTGTAATTTTTTTATGATAGAATATCGTATTGTCATCAGTATGACATAAGTATAGCAAGTTTGCAGTCGATACCACATTGGGAAGGGGGTTAAAATCGAGTTACAAGATTTAAGGATGCAACGACAACAACAGAGTGAGTTAAATAAAAGCGTGTAAGACAATTAGACCCAAGCAGAAACATAACATATAAAAATAATGTTAAAAATGTTTTTTTATTTTATGATAGAATAGAGTATTGTCATCAGTATGACATAAGTATACCAAGTTTGCAGTCGATACCACATTGGGAAGTGGGTTAAAATTGAGTTACAAGATTTGAGGATACAACAACAACGACAGACAGAAAGTGAGTTAAATAACAGCGTGGAAAGTAATAACAAGAGCTACATCGCTGCTCAGCGTGGGCCTTAACTGCTGAAAATAAAACATCGTAAAAACAGTAAACAGATTTTGGAATTAAGTCACCTCCATTCACCCGAAACATTCCAAGTTCCTTCACTGACGTAAGCTGTCGTAAATAATCCGCGGAGGAGTGCAAGACCCGGGTCTCCGTGCGGACCTCACTTTCCGTTCCCGGATACCGGTTGTGTTTGGTGCAATTATGTAAAAAAAAAAACGTTTTCCTTCCTTTATATTTTGTTCGCAAAATAACGTAGTCATGCTTCGTATATATAAAATTATCTCTCGATCGGCCTACTTTTCCGAACTGAATCGGGTCGCGGGGGCAGTGACCCCACCAAGGCCTTCCATCCTATGAACAAATAAGAACAAGTTTCACCATTTTGAAGGCAACAAAGCAGGAGGTGTTGAGATACTCTTTGATTTTTTCGGTAAAGTCACGTTGGTTAATAAAGAAAATAAATACATTTATCCGTTTTGTTTTTTTACCTACTTGACTTTACCGAAAAAACCAAAGAGTATGTGTCCTTGCAGTTACGAAAGCTTCAAATCTAGGTTTAAAGATGTTAAAACACCAAATAAAAACCTTGTTGCAAACAAACAAACATGATATATGCATTGTCTTCGAAACTGATTGGCCTACACCAGAGACAGCTTTCTTTATGACAAAGTCTCACCACCAGTGTCAGACCAGAGAACGATGCCAAAAGGCGAACAGGACAAGGGCAATGCCACGCATATCAGAGCATCCATAGCTCAGGGCGAGAAGCTACAAAATGGGACTTTTTTTGCCAGTAGCAAAGTATGAAACAATGACAATATGTTTTACCCTTTCTGGCAACAAAACAGTTGTGTTAAAGTGTCCAAACACTGCCCTGTCCTCCGCCAGCAGCATCAACCACGGCACCGGGGAACGCCGGTCTCTCTTTGGTCAGAAGCCACCACCACCCCGGTCTTTGCGGCGCGATCTCGTGCGGCATCTGACTCTTTTGCCTGGAGGACGTCGCTTTGAAAGTTTCCCGTGGGGGGGGGGGGAATGGGGAAATGGGGGGGAGGGGGGAGTCTTTCCTTCGGCATCCTTAGCAGATGACCCCATCCACCGTAGCTGGCTGGCTTCACTGCCACGCTCAATAGTTGCCGACTGGCGGATGGCCGCCGCTTCTCAGCCGATCCCAAAGAGAGACTTTTGACTTTTAAACAACTTTTATTGCCGCCAGCAGCAACAGCACTGGAGGCGATTCCGATATGAAACACACAAAGTCACCAGCAACACAAATAATCGCTATAAATCCACGCGCTGTGTCGCTAAATGCAGCGCGCACAACACGAAATCAAAGTCACGTGGTGGTCATCGCGCACGCCACGGCAGAGGTCGCAACCGGGTACCTGATACCCGTACCCTACCCGATACCCGGCTACCCGTGGGTACGGGTACCCGTTTGCGACCCTGGTGCGGCCGGGTATGGGTACGGGTAGGCCGTGAGTCACTGGTGAGTCACCGTTTGTCACTCATTTCCCAACGTCTTGTCTCTTCTCACAATTCAAGTTCCTAGAATCAACCCACCCGCGCCTGCAACATGGCTTCATCCCAGAGGTAGCAATCAGGTACCCGATACCCGTACCCTACCCATACCCGGCCGGCAATACTAGTTTGCGACCCTGGTGCGGCCGGGTACGGGTAAGGAATCAAAACCCGTTTGCGACCTCTGCAGCGCCACGGTGACGAGCGAGCGAGAACCCTGCCACCTTGCGGCAGGAAGCCCTTCTCCGTCGCTTGCGTCCCGTGACCTTTCCGTCAGGCTCCAGGTTTTCGCGGCCGTAGGATCGGGACCGGTTTCTGATTCCTGCAACGTGTTAAGAGGGCTCGCAGCGATACTCTCGCCGTTTGCATCGCGACCTCCGACGTGACCGCGATTTACTAACAGGGGTTTCCCCTTTTTCCTGGCAACAAAACTGACACCTTTTTGCAAGGAATCATGCTTACATTAACCACAAATCTTGCAGTCAAATGCAAACAAAAAACAATACTCTGATAATTTATCAGATGAGTGCGCATTTTGGCGTCATCTGGTCGAACACCATATGAGACTAGGCTCCAAAGAAAGCTGTCTCTGGTGTGGACCAATCAGTTTCAAAGACAATGCATAAATTATCAGAGTATTGTTTTTTGTTTGCATTTGACTGCAAGTATTGTGGTTAATGTAAGCATGATTCCTTGCAAAAGGTGTCCGTTTTGTTGACAGATAAAAGGGGAAAAAACCCTATTAGTATATTTTGGTACTGACAAAGGAGGTCCCATGATGTGACCGCGATTGCGATGGACATCGGCACCGCCGCTTAACATCGGCACCATCGCAGGATGAGCGCGAGTCCGGCAACTTGTTGGGCCCTTTGATTCGCGCGGTTGGCTGCATACGATGCGAAATAAGTTCAAAATATAGAACTGTTCTACACTACGCAACTATGCACGACACGATATACTCCACTATACACTACACTGCTTTATAGTCCACTATACACTGCAATACTGTACACTACACTATACACTACGCGATACACTACATTATACACAACATGCACTACACTACACCACAATACTAGATTGAAAACGAATTTCTTTAGAACTCACCACAAAGACCCAACAGTTTGTTGTCATTACCCCGCACATCCGATTAGCGCGGCTGGCTGTGTGGTGTTTGCGAAAGAAAGTCAACATACACACAGATGTTTCGAGTTGTTATGATGCTTTGTTTACCTATGGCATGGCTCTCTCTCTCAAGAGTTTTGCCGTCGTTTTTCCATGAGCGTTGTGAGTGCACAGCAGTCTCGGCTGTCAATGTGTATTTGAACAGAGCCGACGTGGCTTTGGAGGCAAATTGATGTTGACGTGCGAGATGTTAGCTACCTCGCCTCGTCTGCAGGACGTCGTGGATTTTATCCCGACCCGGACGCCTGCTGCTGTATATTTGGAGTTTGTGTGTCTCTCATCATCATCAGCATGGTGACGAGATGTAAACTTCTCCGCCTGGTCTGCATGAGGTCGTGGGTTCAGTCCCAAACCTGACGCCTGCTGTATATTTGGAGTTTGCGTGTCTCTCTCTCATCATCATCATCATGGTCACGATAAGATGTTAACTACCTCGCCTGATATGTAGGAGTGCGTGGGTTCGACCCCGACCCTGACACCTGCTGGAGATTTGGAGTTTGATTGTCTCTCTCTCTCTCCCCGTGGTCGCGTGGATTTTTCTCCGGGTACTCCGGTTTTTCCCTCCACTTATCAACATCACCACTCGTTTAGAGTGTTTGGCTGCTGTAAACCTCCACAGCTCAGAAGTGTCCTGGCCATAAATCATAGCTCAACAACGTGGCTTATCAAGTGGCAATGTATAGCAGCCAAATACTCTAAACGCGTGATGTTGATTCTAAATGCAGAGGGGAAAATCGGAGGACTCTGAGAAAATTCCATGCGACCTTGGGGAGAAGATGCAAACTCCAAATATGGCGTCCATGACGATGACGATGATGATGGTGGTGATGGTAGTATGAAGAGCGGTTTAAGTGCTGCGCTAAGACCCGGTGAACCTACAGTAGTTCGATTCCCGCTCACGGCCAACACCACCAGTGACGACTATCTGAACCGGTCCTGGGCCTCCCCTAGGTCGACTCAGCCTCAAATAAGTACCTGGTGCGGTGTGTAGTAAACATCGCCACTGGGGAAAAAAAAGGCGGCCGGGCGTGGTGCTACCCACTCACCCCCCCTCATGCACCGTGCCGGCCTTCATAGACGCTGCTACTGGCTATCAGCACTTGCCTCAACAGTCTGTTACAGGCTATACCGGGGTTGAACCTTTGTCTTTGTCTTCGTTGTCCAGGAAAGGATGTTCATGATCCAGAAGCTGAGGAGATGTTGGCGGACCCTGATGCCTGCGATGCTGGCGATCCTGGTGTTCTTGACGCACATGTTCTTCAAAAACTACGTCTCCCGGGGTGTGTGAAGTCGTCGTCGTGAGGATGGCGGGGGCGTGCATGCGTGCGTGACAGAATCGGAATCTTTATTTTAGACTGCAGGAGGAATCTGATGAGCTGCAAAGCTCCCTGTCGCACAGGTGTCCGGTAAGAGGGCATCGGGGGTCAGAACGTTACAACAACAAACAGCAGAAACCACAAGAGTATAAGATCGATAAGCGAATCGCTTTTAAAATATATACACACAAATAAAACGACGTTATAATTTTATCTTAACCAGGTGAAGCCTACTGAGGTATGAAAACTTATTTTCCGGCAGCGACCTGGCCACAAATTTGCTCCGCGCGGCTTTCATCCGCCACAGAGAGACTTAACGGCGGCGCTCCAGCGACCAATTAAGAACAGCGACTGGCCGTTCCGCAGTGCGAGTGCCTGCCCAACCACCCACGATTCAGACAATGGAGAACCGCCGCGTCGCTAACAACTTGCATCATCCCCACGCGCAACTCTGGTTTGCGCACACAGGGACTCCTCTACTTACAAACATTCGACTTACGAACTTTCAGAGATACGATGGTCCAGTTACCCGTTCGGACCGAGATTCTTAAGTTGAACCACCGCGTAATAGATGGCGGTGGTGGCATCTACATCTGCAGAACGTTCAGAACCAGTGACATTTATATCTGCAGAACATGAATAACCAGTAGCATCAACATTTGCAGAACGTGAAGAACCAGTGGCATCTATGTCTGCAGAACATGAAGAACCAGTGGCATCTACATCTGCAGAACGTTAAGAACCAGTGGCATTTACATCTGCAGAAAGTGAAGAACTAGTGGCATCTACTTCTGCAGAACGTGAAGAACCAGTGGCATCTACATCTGCAGAAAGTGAAGAACCAGCGGCATCTACATCTGCAGAACGTTCAGAACCAGTGACATCTACACCTGCAGAACGTGAAGAACCAGTGGCATCTACGTCTACAGAATATGAAGAACCAGTAGCATCAACATCTGCAGAACGTGAAGAACCAGTGGCATCTGCAGAACGTTCAGAACCAGTGGCATTTACATCTGCAGAAAGTGAATAACCAGTGGCATCTACGTCTGCAGAACATGAAGAACCAGTGGCATTTACATCTGCAGAAAGTGAAGAACTAGTGGCATCTACTTCTGCAGAACGTGAAGAACCAGTGGCATCTACATCTGCAGAAAGTTAAGAACCAGCGGCATCTACATCTGCAGAATGTTCAGAACCAGTGACATCTACGCCTGCAGAACGTGAAGAACCAGTGGCATCTACGTCTACAGAATATGAAGAACCAGTAGCATCAACATCTGCAGAACGTGAAGAACCAGTGGCATCTGCAGAACGTTCAAAACCAGTGGCATTTACATCTGCAGAAAGTGAATAACCAGTGGCATCTACATCTGCAGAACGTGAAGAACTAGTGGCATCTACGTCTGCAGAACATGAAGAACCAGTGGCATCTACGTCTGCAGAATATGAAGAACCAGTGGCATCTGCAGAATGTTCAGAACCAGTGGCATCTACATCTGCAGAACGTGAAGAACCAGTGGCATCTACGTCTGCAGAAAATGAAGAACCAGTGGCATCTACATCTGCAGAACGTTCAGAACCAGTGGCATCTACGTCTGCAGAACGTTCAGAACCAGTGGTATCTACATCTGCAGAACGTGAAGAACCAGTGGCATCTACACTTACAGGAGATTGTACAACTTTTATAGCCATTCCCCGTGTTTAGTGTACGTGCCGTACAACGTGTTTTCAATCGACAAGAGTAAAGTTGGACTTACAACAAATCGACTTACGAACAAACCTCTAGAACCTAACTCATTCGTAGGTGGAGAACTCCCTATACTTGCCGTACGCTAGAATACGGACTGGCCACAAATGATAGCTCAACAATGGGACTCATCATCATCGTGTGGACATTTATACCAGAGCCAGTCAATGGTGATGATGCTGCTGCTGCTGCGTTGAAAGCGGCCCACCGGCACATTTGACAACACTCAACATCACTGAGATCCAGGTTTCAGCTGCCTGCGGTTAAACTGGGTTCTTCAACTGCAGTGAGTTGATTGTCTTAGGCCAGTCACCAGTGACTCGCATAGATATCTTCTTTCAGACGGTTTAAAGCAGTGGTTCTTAACCTGGGCTGCACGCACTCCCTGGGGGTGCAAGATGCCCTTTCTGGGAGTGTGAGACATGGCCAGATTTTTTTAGAAGGTAAATCATCAAAACACAAATGAAGCATGGTCACTTAAGTACAAAGTACTTTATTTCATCAAACCCTATGTATGTATTAACATTTGACATTGTTTTACGATTGAGAACCAAAGGGGTGCAAGGCATCAGTAAAGATTACGAACCACTGGTTTAGAGTATTTGTCTACTGCTATGAATTTACACTGGACGGTGATAAGCCACTTCGTTGAGCCATCATTTTGGATGGCCAGGTCGCTTCTAAGAAAATGGCTACATCGCTCAGTGGGCCTTTAGATGCTAAAAGAAAAAAAAAAGTTTCGTTTTAACATCGTTGAAATTGTAATTGGAAATGTTTAAATCCCCTCGACCACTCCCCCAGATATCAAGTTGATACAGGCGAAGGAATGGACCCCGCATACTCTCGCGTTGTCAACCAGCCAGCAAGCGTTCGAGGCGACGGTGCAGATGAACGCGAGCGCCACCACGAACGCGACAAGCGGGATGTCGGGGCACCGCGGCTGGGACATCACGAGCAACACCTGCGAGCCCAAGGCCAAGTACCTCAAGCGGTGGTGGTTCAAGTCCTTCGACCCCCTCTTCAAAGGTGACGGGCGACGGTGCGCTCCCGGGGTCATCGTGGGGTCGGGATTGTGGGGCTGTGAGGTTATGGGGTCACAGGGTCGTGGGGTCACAGGGTCGTGGGGTGGTGGGTCCTGGGGTCACGGGATCGTGGGGTCACAGGGTCGTGGGGTCACAGGGTCGTGGGGTCACGGGGTCGTGGGGTGGTGGGTTGTGGGGTCGCGGGATCATGGTGTTTCCACCTCCGAGAGTGGTCGTCACAGCAAGTGTCGTGACATCACTCGAACCCCCAAAAGATGACGTCGCAGAACTACTTTTCTCTGATCTATGCTCTGATCTCTATCTGGTTGTCTCTCGTTGAAGTTCATTTACGTTGTCTCCGCTTTGATTTCTATTTAGATGATGACCCAGGTTCACGCTTACAATGAGCTCTTGGGTTCTAATCGTGGTTAAACAACAAATATAAACATGAACTATTGTTTACTGCATTTCTGAAATCAATGTCACAGTCGAATTTACATCGTTAGGTGGTAGAGATGTTTACTTGTGTAGCGTATATAATTAATCACACTGACACAGAGTAACAGGTCACCTGCTTACACTTTATTAATCCTACTCTCGCACCAGTTGTAGGCACACCTATGACTGCCTCTCAATGTCATCACACACGCTGCTTCCCCCTCCTACCTGCTCTCACCTATCCCACACCGCACCTACCCTCTCCTATCCCACTGCTGCCCCTGCTCTTACCCACGCTGCCCCGTACCCACTCACCCGTCTGTCCCGGGCGGGGGGTTCAGCCAACACCCGCCCGGCGACGGCGTGAGGGGCAAGGTCCCGCTGACGGCCCAAGTGGCAGCGGCGAGAAGTCTTCTCTCTTGGTCCCTGAATAACTCTCCGCTATTCACGCACACTCCTCTTTATATTCCCCTCCCCCTTCCAAGTCCTCAGGTGCCCCCACTTAAGCTGTCATCTCCACGGCGCCTCTCGCACTCGCTAACCCATAATCATCGCCCACATCTCCCATCTCTCCGGCACCAACTCCGTGCCCCAACGCGCACACCTGCTCGTCCCCAATTGCACCCGCTCAATCTACGCTTCTCCCCTTAATTACTGCCGCCTCTCCGGCGCCAACCCCGTGCCCCAACGCGCACACCTGCTCGTCCCCAATTGCACCCGCTCAATCTACGCTTCTCCCCTTAATTACTGCCGCCTCTCCGGCGCCAACCCCATGCCCCAACGCATACACCTGCTCGTCCCCAATTGCACCCTCTCGACTACGCGCACTGCATACATCCCTACTCTACACTTGTAGCCGGAACAGTCCATAACGCTGTCTTGGCAAGTCACGTCTCGTTGTCTCGTCAAGGAGCATAAACCATGATCACACAAACTCCAGTCATCCTCGCAGCAGCTGCTTTTGGTTGGCCGTCGAACGAAGATGGTCACTGGCATCGCGCAGCGCTTTCAGATGCGCTTCTGCAACCGTCTGGAAAGCTCTTCCTTCTGATATTAGGAAGCCACTGGGAGCTACGCACTTTTCATTAATCTCGATTGAAAACGAATTTCTTTAGAACTACTTTTTGTGCACTACATTACTGTACACTACACTACTTTACACTTCACTACTATATACTAAACTGTACACATTAATATGCACTACTGTACTAACTATATACACTATACTACTATTCACTACACCACTATACTTAATTGAAAACTAATTTCTTTCGAACTGCATTTTGTGTTTAGTTTGTTGTACTCCTTCCTGCCCCTCCGACTGACGCGGTTAGCTATGTACGGTGCGAAAGAAGTTAAACGTACATACATATACATCTGCTCACTGGATTATACGAATATAGTGAACTATACTTTTGGATTACTATGCATGAGCACGGACATTGTACTCTAGTGGTAGTACCTTATGCCGATTAATCCCGACTCCAAGCCCAGCCAGCCGAACAAACCAACGGTCTGGAATCTTACCGAGTGAGAAAACGAAGGAATGGCTAGGGCACGGCTTGCATTCCATAGCACACGACATCACACGTCTGGACTGATGTGTTTGACATCGAACAGACGCTAATGTGTGTCGCGCGTAGTCCAATATTGACAGGTGCGCACGTTATTTTCAGTTCCAGCTGAGCTCCGTTTCCAATTCACATCCGCTCATCCGTCTCGAGTCATCTCGAGACATCTCCAGGATCTCTTAGCGTACAGTCGTACATTAGCGTACAGTCGTAATCCTGCCTCTCTGTAGAAACCGGTGACCCTTTCCAAGAAAGACAAAGTTCCCCCGTATAGCCTTCCACAGACTGTAATAGGGGCAAGTGCTCTTGGCGAGCGCCTAAGAACGTCACGTGATGGGGTGGGTGGCGAACACTACACCCGGCTGCCTTTGTCCGATGTTTACTACACACCGCACCAGGTACTCATTTGAGGCTGAGTAGACCTACGGCAGGCCCAGACCCAGGACCGACCAGTGTTGAGCGGGAATAGAACTCGGTCCACCGGGTCTGTAACCCGGTACGGCAACCTCTGCGCTACCGCTCTCCCCATTCCCTTCCAACAAATACATGGACAAAGATTGAACAAAGATCCCCCATATAGCCTCAACAGTCTGTTTGGGCAAGTGCTGTTAGCGAGCACCTATGAAGGCCGGCACGGCACACGAGGGGGTGGGTGCCCAGCACCACGCCCGGCCGCCTACGCACTGCACCAGGTTCTCATTTGAGGTTGAGTCGACCTCGATGAGGCCCAAGCCTGGTTCAGATAATAGTCACCGGTGTTGGCCGCGATCGGGAGTCGAACTCGGTCCGCCAAGTGCGTGGCAGGGCGCGCTAACCGCTGCGCCACTGCTCCTCTCCATTCCCTTCCAAGCACTGCTGACCCACACGCACGTCCTCCCTTTTAACCCCGTGGACTCCGCGCTCACTCCTCTGTAATGGGACCACTCATGGTGTAACATGAGGCTGGGCGCCAGGGTGGTGGCGGCTGCAGTGGTAACCCTCGGGAACCTTTCTACAACTATTTTGTATTTTACCAGGTAAGGCACACTAAGCGGCGATATGGCTCTTTTTCAGAAGCGAACTGGCTATCAACAAATGATAGGTCAACAATGTGGCGTATCATCGTGTGGACATTTATAGCAGCCAAATACTCTAAACGTGCTACATTAATTCTAAATGTGGAGGGAAAAACCGGAGGACCCAGGCAAAAATCCACACGACCACGAGGTAAAGAGAGATATGCAAACTCCAAATATACAGCAAGCATCATCATGTTCAGGATCGAACCCACGACCTCATGTATACCAGGCGAGGTAGTTAACATCTCCTAGCCACCGTGGCACCCTGCTCGTGCTGTTTGTTGCTGACCACATGGATTTTTTTTACATTGGGGCCTGTGCTCATTAACCAACTATTGGACATCTGTGAAAAAGAGCTTCACAGCTCATCGGATTCCTCCAGTATAAATATTCCAATTGCGATTCTGAACAGTGATACGGTGAAAATGGAGCCTCAACAAAACTCTAACCAATTTAACATCCGAATGATAACCACTATCACATTCAACAATAACATGCCCTGAATTTACCCAGCGACCACAGGGAGACATACCTGTCAACCCATACGGTTTCCTCATATTCTTGGAAAGGGAAATTGAGTTTTCAGGTCCATACGGCATACAGCCGTTGCAATACGGGCAAAAAAAATATTTTGTCTATTTGTGTTTCTCCCTCGTGATGGGACTTTGTAGGATGAACGTTGAGATTTACTAGGGGGGCACGGGGTGACCAATGAGGTCTGAATTAGTCTGTAGCAGGGGTCGGGAACCTTTTTGACTGGGAGCGCCATAAAAGCCCAATATTTCTAAATATATTTCATTGAGAGCCATATAGTAATTTTTAACGTATAATAAATTAAATATGTCTTACTTTTAATGCGACTTCTGGTGCTGCATGGTTTTGCTGATGGCCTTGTAGTCTGGTTCATATGACGTGGCGAGGTTGAGCTTCGTGCAGGCGTGACCCGTGAAATTTATCTTCAAAACTAATTTCTGTTTACTTTAAAATGACACAGTATTATTAAGCAATATCACAAGTATTTTAAAATCAGTTCCAAACAGATTTTTTTTTTCAACTCAATAATTGTCTGGGAGCCATATGCCGTCACTGGAAGAGCCATATATGGCTCGCGAGCCATAGGTTCCCGACCACTGGTCTGTAGTAATGTAGGCACTGATGGGGAGAGAGAGAGAGATGCAAACTCCTAATATACAGCAGGTGTTAACGGCTCACCCTCCCGTGATCGTAAAGAGGGGACAGGCCAGCTAATACAGACACGAATAAGATAACCCGTAAAAACTAAGTTTTTCACTATAAATCCTTTATATGCGTGGCGACTAGAGTCCTCTCGTCCTCTGGCTTGAGATGGCTGCCCACCTATGGGTCAGATGATTGCATGGCACCATTAAGTAATTGGTAATTAAATATAATATTTTTGTCCTAAAAAGTGTAAAATTTTGGGAAAAAATGTTCTCATGAAAATGCATTGTCACGCACAACGAGTCTGTGTGCAAAATTTCAGCTCGATTGGATCACGGGAAGTTGGTTAAAAAACGACCGAAAGATTTGCACGGTCCTAAGGAAGCAAGCAAGTGAACTTAATATAAAGGATTTAAAAATAGACGAGTTCGGAGGCGACGTGTGAACACTCTGCGCTGTCTTCTGCAACTCTTTATTTCAAAGGGTTCTTCTGAGGAGCATTATTATGACCGAGATGTACACCAATCAACTCCACGTTACACAGCACCCAAATCTCAATAATGATAGCACCTGCTTATCATATAAAATACAAATTTAACGTAAAACATCTGAAATATTTAACATTTAACAATAGCACCTTAAAGAAACACCTTGTGCCTTCGAAATACCCTACCCTAGTCACAGCCACTGTAATAATACGGCACAAATTAAAATAGATTTGCTTGTATGATAATAAAACAACATTTTATAATCCAATTGTATTAATACATATCTGAATCAGAACAATTTCTACCAAAATACGAAGATAATTCGGCTCACTCTATCAGCTCAATGTTACATAAAGAGCCGCAGGGCGGCCATTTTGTGCGAGTTTTTTTTCCCAACAACAAAACTAAATATCACTAAATTTTATCAACCATCACACAATTAACCCCTAATTTTAACCACTATAACATTCGTATCACATTCGTATCACATTCGTATCACTGGAATTGATCAAACTTGACAGCTTATTTAACACTCGTGTATATATAATCTTAGTACCATGGTGCCATCTTGTTTTTCAACTTTCCCGCGCAAAAACAAACAAAATAAAACTCAAAATAAATTAACTTATCATACCTCCAATTATGACCAGATGCACACAAATCGACCCACATTACACAGCACCTCGCTGCTCAATCCCTGTACTGATGGGACTTAGTTCAATTGTTAATATTCTGCAACCACGCCTGAATGACTAGATTGATTAAATTCTTCAAATCGTCTTGAATGATCAAAATATTAACTGTGAATTAAACAATCAGCAGCTAATTAACATAACTTAATCCCTATCAGTTAATCAATATTAGAATAATAGCAATAATAGTAATTAATTATTAAACAGTTACACAGAGTGCTTCAAAAAAATGTTAACACCTACATGGGACTATTGTTTTTAATGGAAAGAGAACAGATAATACACTGCAACATGATAACAAATGTAATGTTAATAGCTTCAAAAGTCAAAGAGTGTCCACTTGTTCGCCATCATTGTCAACACATGCATGGAATCTTCTCCAGGTGGTCCTCCAGAGCAGCCCAGAGGCATACAGAAATACCTTACACTTTCGTCAGGTTAGGGACCAGAGCATGGAGGAATGTCAGAAATGGACGAATGTCAAAGCAGAACCTTTATTTAGCTTGCAAATGTATTTTGGCGGGCGAAAAACGTGCATGCAAATAACTACAGTAAATATTAAAACGTACATGGAACATGCCTTGCCCATTAAGTTTAATTATGTCAAGCTTTTCTTGCAAATTGAGAACCTTATGGGTTCTTTTAGCTTCACTATCACCACACTTAGGACCTATTATGAATTTACTAAAGCACAAAAATAGATACTTTACCTTAATCACAAAAATAAGCACAGTATGAATACTGTACACGTGTTTTACGAAAATAACTATGAACACTGTTGTATTAGGCTGTTATCACAAAAAATAACTATGAATTGTTTACAGTATAATCACGTAAATAAGTACAGTATTAATAATATATGAATAAACACAAATATAAGAGATGCTCACTGAACGACTTCTATTCAAAGACTGAACGAACAAGATGGCGCGTGGCTCGAACATCGTGGAAGATTGGAGGAAATTGGATGAAAGAGGAAAGCGCGTGGACGAAATTTGAAATGTGGTTATGTTTGAAAACGTCCGAAAGAGCGAAGCGGCGAAAGTCAAGGTATTACTGTATTTATTGTGGTATTGTTACACCCTGTAAAGAGTTTTGTTTTTACTGGTAGGAACCTCTTCGTTACACCAGCCCACAGGGGATTATTGTGCCCGTCCGTCCGTCGTGCAGGGAGGGGCTGGGTGGGGAGGTAGGGGCTGGGTGGGGGGTGGGAGGGGTGGGGCTGGGTGGGGGGTGGGAGGGGTGGGCCTGGGTGGGGAGGGGCTGGTCACCCCGTGGTGTCCTTATAAAACTCAACGTTTAACCTACAGTGAGGGGAAAAAGTATTTGATCACCTGCTGATTTTGTACGTTTGCCCACTGACAAAGAAATGATCAGTCTATAATTTTAATGGTAGGTTTTTTTTAACAGTGAGAGACAGAATAACAACAACAAAATCCAGAAAAACGCATGTCAAAAATGTTATGAATTGATTTGCATTTTAATGAGGGAAATAAGTATTTGACCCCTCTGCAAAACATGACTTAGTACTTGTTGGCAAAACCCTTGTTGGCAATCACAGAGGTCAGACGTTTCTTGTAGTTGGCCACCAGGTTTGCACACATCTCAGGAGGGATTTTGTCCCACTCCTCTTTGCATATCTTCTCCAAGTCATTAAGGTTTCGAGGCTGACGTTTGGCAACTCGAACTTTCAGCTCCCTCCACAGATTTTCTATGGGATTAAGGGCTAGAGACTGGCTAGGCCACTCCAGGACCTTAATGTGCTTCTTCTTGAGCCACTCCTTTGTTGCCTTGGCCGTGTGTTTTGAGTCATTGTCATTCTGGAATACCCATCCACGACCTATTTTCAATGCCCTGGCTGAGGGAAGGAGGTTCTCACCCAAGATTTGACGGTGCATGGCCCCGTCCATCGTCCCTTTGATGCGATGAAGTTGTCCTGTCCCCTTAGCAGAAAAACACCCCCAAAGCATAATGTTTCCACCTCCATGTTTGGCGGTGGGGATGGTGTTCTTCGGGTCTCATCTGACCAGTTATCCTCTGAATCATTCAGATGTTCATTGGTAAACTTCAGACGGGCATGTATATGTGCTTTCTTGAGCAGGGGGACCTTGCAGGCGCTGCAGGATTTCAGTTCTTCACGGCGTAGTGTGTTACCAACTGTTTTCTTGGTGACTATGGTGCCAGCTGCTTTGAGATCATTGACAAGATCCTCCCGTGTAGTTCTGGGCTGATTCCTCACCGTTCTCATGAGCATTGCAACTCCACGAGGTGACATCTTGCATGGAGCCCCAGGCCGAGGGAGATTGACAGTTCTTTTGTGTTTCTTCCATTTGCGAATAATCGCACCAACTGTTGTCACCTTCTCACCAAGCTGCTTGGCGATGGTCTTGTAGCCCATTCCAGCCTTGTGTAGATCTACAATCTTGTCCCTGACATCCTTGGAGAGCTCTTTGGTCTTGGCCATGGTGGAGAGTTTGGAATCTGATTGATTGATTGTTTCTGTGAACAGGTGTCTTTTATATAGGTAACAAGCTGAGATTAGGAGCACTCCCTTTAAGAGTGTGCTCCTAATCTCAGCTCGTTACCTGTATAAAAGAAACATGGGAGCCAGAAATCTTTCTGATTGAGAGGGGGTCAAATTCTTATTTCCCTCGGTAAAATGCAAATCAATGTATAACATTTTTGACATGCGTTTTTCTGGATTTTGTTGTTGTTATTCTGTCTCTCACTGTTCAAATAAACCTAACATTAAAATTATAGACTGATAATTTTTTTGTCAGTGGGCAAACGTACAAAATCAGCAGGGGATCAAATACTTTTTCCCCTCACTGTAGGTTAAACGTTGATTTTATAAGGGCACCACGGGGTGACCAGCCCCTCCCCACCCAGCCCCTTCCTACCCAGCCCCTCCCCACCCAATCAGCAGGGGATCAAATACTTTTTCCCTCACTGTACACACGCCGGCTTGTGCCCGCCCTCACAGTCGGGCATATTTGCAGAATACACCACGCCGCCGTTGACCCTGGCCATTGACCGAGCAACCCAACGTTCCTACCAGCTCCCTCCGCAGGAATGTGTAACGGAGCTGTAAATCTGTGTTTGTTATCTGTAGTGTCCACCCAAAACAGAATGGGTGCCCTATACCCTGAATTGAATACTCCACTGGCAGGTGTGCCCTACAGTGCAGTCGCGTGAATATATGGGTCCAATCCATGGTCATCATTATCTCCATTCACAATTACATGTGTGATTCATTACATTAAGCCCATGCCGGCTACACAGGTATCGTCAGGGTTGGGATGGAACCCAAGACCTCCTGCATACCAGGCGAGGTAGTTAACATCTCTTAGTCACCGCGGCGCCCAGCATCCACCTGAACCTCCAACCCTGCCTCCTCACTCGCAATTCCCTCACCCACCCCCCTTCCGTCCCCCCTCCATAGACTACGTGCTCTACCGCCACTGCCGCCTCTTCCCGATGCTGCACAACTTCCCAGAGGTGTGTGGCGGTCGAGGCGACGACAGAGACGGTGGTGATGGCGACGGTAACAACAGCGGCGGAGACGCAGACACGGACACAGACGCGGACCAGCCGAAGCCGCAGCGTCCATTCCTGCTGCTCGTCATCAAGAGCAGCCCCTCGAACTTTGACCGGCGCGACGCCATCCGCCGCACGTGGGGTCGCAACGGCGTGGCGACGACGACGGCGGCCGACGGGCAGCCACTTGTCGTGCACACGCTCTTCCTGCTGGGCGTGCGGCCACCCTCGCCCCCTTCCCCCACCGACAGCCGCGACGACGACCGCGGCAAGCGTGCGCGCGTCCAGAGGATGGTGGACCTGGAGGCGCGTCTCCACGGCGACCTGCTCCAGTGGGACTTCCACGACTCCTTCTACAACCTCACGCTCAAGGACATCAACTTCCTGCGCTGGTTCCAGGCCTACTGCCCGGCCGTCGCCTACGTCTACAAGGGGGACGACGACGTCTTCGTCAACGTGGAGAACCTCCTGGCATACCTCGCCGCGTTCAGCCGCGACGGCTCCGCCCCCCTCTTCGTCGGGCGCACGCAGCAGCAGGCGCCGCCGATACGCAGCGCCGAGAGCAAGTACTTCGTGCCGCGCGAGATATACCGCCGGTGGACGTACCCGGATTACGCGAGCGGCGGCGGCTTCGTGATGTCGCGGGCGGCCGTCGTGAGGATCCACGAGGTGTCGCGCGACATCAAGCCGTTCCCCATCGACGACGTGTGGATCGGGATGTGCCTGGAGAAGGCCGGCCTCACCGTCACGCAGCACGAAGGCTTCCGCACCTTCGGCCTCGAGGCGGAGAACCTGGAGGAGGGGGTGGAGAAGAAGAGCGCCCTGTGCATCTACAGGTCCTCCATGATATTCCACAGGTTCCTACCCCAGGAAATGCTGGACATGTGGGTGGACTTCAAGAATGCTTCCATACAATGTTAGCTGTGGCAAGTGACGACGGTTTTCTCGGTGTGGACAGAAATCACTCGCCAGCCGTGCTTTTTTTTCTTTCTTTTCCCTGCATACGCGGTATTTATGTATCCACGGTTTTCCTTCGGCATGCCGGTTTGTAATTTTGTGTTTCCGCGATTTAGCACGGGCAAACCCAGCGCTTGTCATTTCAAATCCACTCGCAAACTGCGTTCCCTCCCTCCATCATCGTCTCATCTCCCATCTCCCTCCGTCCATCATCGTTTCGTCTCCCAGCTCCCACCACCGCTCTCTTCCCACCACGAGGTAGAGGCGGTGGGTGGGCAAATCCACCCTCTTCTTCCTTCTCACAACCACCTCTCCCATCACCTCATCCTCATCAACGTCATCATCATCACCATGGACTTCAACCCTCAGTATTAAAGGTAAGTAACATTATTTTAATTGTTTCCTTAATTATGTTCTTTGAACGTTCATTGTTTTTATTATATAACGTTGTGTATTTTATTCGTGTTTAAGTGAGGAAAGGGCAACCTGGTTAGACTTTGACGAGCGTGACCGTGGTTACCATGACCCCAAATATATCTGACAAGGTTTTGCTAACCACGGCGGGTCTTTAAGGGTTGTAACCACCACGGTTGGTGAGGGATTGCTGTATTTATACAGGAACTCCTCTATTTACAAACGAGTTAGGTTCCAGAAGTCTGTTTGTAAGTCCAACTTTCCTCCTGTCGATTCCAAACATGCTGTACGGCATGTACACTAAACACAGGGAATAGCTTTAAAAGTTGTATAATCTCCTGTAGATGTAGATGCCACTGGTTCTTGATGTTCTGCAGATGTAGATGCCACCATCGCCATTTATTGCGGCTCTCGGTCCGAACGGACAACTGGACATACGGAGAGTTTTGTCCGTATCTCTGAAAGTTCTGAAGGTCACGAGTCGAATGTAGAGGGGTGTGCTGGTTAGTAACACCGCTGGACTTGTTATGAAGAAGTTACCAATTCGATTTAATCTCCCGGCGAATAACCCCAAAATATAGTTTTTCTGCAGATCTCTATGATAAAAAACACTCATATACGTGATGTTTAAGTTAAGAAAATTTAGTTTGTTAACGAGCAAATCGACAATTTGTATTAAAGGCTGTTTTTTTTACAAAAGTCCAAACAAAAACACGCACTCACTTAAGCAGATTTTTTAAAAATCCTGATCAAATAACTCAAAATGAAGCACAACTGACGATTTCGATTTCTACGCTTTTGATTTAGAATGAATGCTCACGATCGACCGATCTATGTTTGCTCAGTGATAATAAAACTTTCCTGGCTCCCGCCCACTCGTTGGATGAGAGCAGAGCTACATCAGTCAAAATCAATCAACGACTGTATTGTAGATGCGATTACGTGGATTTCGGATGAACTGGAGCACATATTTGTTCGGTTTAAGCACGCGACTTGTAATAAACATTTACAAGAAAAACAATGTTATCACTGTTTTTAAAATATTAATTTGGGCTTCAGGGAAAATCCATGAGCCATAATTTCAGGTGCATGGTTATTCTGCAAATCGGATAAACCGCAAGCGGATAATCGAGTCTACTATATATATGTCAAAACGTACCATATCTTTCTCAAAGACAATGGCTATCCAGTTAGTTGTCCATGATATAGCTCAAGAACCTCTGAAAGAGTGCTATGGTGGCGAGATGTAAACTACCTCACCTGGTATACAGGCGGTTGTGGTTTCGATCCCGACCCTGACGCCTGCGGTATATTTGGAGTTTGCGTGTTCTCCCCGTGGTCACGTGTATTTTTCTTCGGGTCCTCTGGTTTTCCACTCCACATTTAGAAACGTGCATACATTTCCACGTGATAAGCCACTTATGTTGAGCTATCGCTTGTGATAGCCAGTTCGCTTTTGAAAAAAGCTATACAGCTCAGTGGGCCTTACCTGGTAAAATAAAATGTATAGTGTTTAGTTTAACCGGTCGTCCTCGCAGCAGCAGCAGCTTTTGGCTGGTCGTCGAACAAAGACGGTCACCGCATCGCGCGCTTTCAGATGCGCTTTTGCGGCCGTCTGGAATGCTCTTCCCTCTGATATTAGGAAGCCGCCGGAGCTATGCACCTTTAAATTATCTAGATGTGAAAACGTATTTCTCTCTAACTGATTGTCGTCTTTAGTTCGTTGTTCCCTCCGCCCCCCGCACCTCTGATTATTGTGGTTGTACAGCACGAAGGAATCTCAACGTGCAGCTGGTCCGCAAACTCCAACACGCTGATGGGGGAAAAAAACACATCAGGTGACAAAGTCCAAAAAGAACTGGACTGCTTGACCTTTGCCGACACCCATCCTCTTGTGGATGAGGCAGACAACACCGTTGCCACACAAAAGGCTGGGCAAAGCAGCGGGGCAGGGATGGTTCAATCACGTGTTTAGTTTTACCCGTAGGCATTCGCGACCAATATTATGTGTTTAGTTTGTTGTCCTCCCCCCACCCGCACCTCCGATTAGTACGGTTGGGGTTAGATTGCGTGAATATAAATGGGTTGTGAAGCCCGTCACCACCCGACACAGCCAGGTTTGTCACGTAAAGAGTAAATCCACTACGTTTACAATTTGAGCACCATGACGTTTCGCCAGTAATTACAACAACCAGCATCATCAGGCAACGTGCCAGAGTTGGAGAAATCCTCCTGCTGTTTCGGTCTTAAATAGCGGGGGAAATGTGATGTCGTCACGTGTGAGCCAATCAGGTGCGACGGCCAGAGGAGGGCGGTTAATGTATACATATAAATCACGCGACACATTTATGTGTTTAACGACACATTTATATTTGCGCGGTCTAACCTAAAAAAACTCTATCATGGATGACATTGGTCGCGAAAGCCTCCTACATGTTGAACTTCCACGAGCATCCGTGCGTCCGCCATCATCCCAGCTGGGTGGAAGGCCACTCAGACCATCGGGCATCCCTGAAGGCACGAAGAAGAAGACTCCACCGACTCCAAAAGGAGCTACTGACGAGTGTCGTTCATTCAGTGCTCTGTTTCTTAAATCCTTTATATTAAGTTCGCGTGCTTGCGTGCTTGCTTGCTTGCGTGCTTGCTTGCTTAGGACCGTGCAAATCTTTCGGTCGTTTTTTAACCCACTTCCCATGATCCAATCGAGCTGACATTTTCCACACAGACTCGTTGTGCCAGACAATTATTGTTCGTGAAATAAAATTCCCAAAATTTTACACTTTTTAGGCAAAAAAAAAATATTTTACATATATTCAAATACACCTGTAGAACGCATTCATGGCTTTGGCTGAACGTCAGAGTGTAAGAGCCCAGAGCGTAACCCCTCCACAGGCCGTGGCGGAGTAGCGCAGTTGGTAGCGCCCTCGCTTCCCATGCCAAAGGTCGCGGGATCGATCCCCGCGTCCTCCACAGGCGAATATATTTTTAAATCCTTTATATTAAGTTCGCTGCCACGCATATAAAGGATTTATAGTGAAAAACTTTGTTTTTACGGGTTATACTTATTCCCTTCTCATTTTAGTTCTTAAAATGTTAGTTTTTTCCCAATGAGGCTAAGCGACGCACACAAGCCCCCGCTAACAATGCGGCGCCGATGGTTTCTGGGGACGGGGTGGGGGAAAACCGAAAAAAAGATCTTCTTGGTTCTTTCGGTAAAGTCACGTAGAAGGGAAATAATAAAATAATAAAAATGTAACATAATACAATTATTTTTTATAATTATTTCCCTTCTACGTGACTTTACCGAAAGAACCAAGAAGATGAATCCCTGCAGTCACGAAAGCTTTAAATTGAAACGAAAAAAAGATGCGAATGGGTCGGAGAGAGATAGGAGGGGCATGTTTGAGATAGGAGGGATGCTTGAACTTTTGGGGTGCTTGAATACGTACCGTACGGTACGTTGAACTTCTTTCGCGCACCGTACGTAGTCGAAACCACGCTAATTCGGAAGGTGCGGTACGTGTCTCAGTGTGGGTGAAAGGGATTGCTCGGGATGGGTGGGAGCTTGTGTTTATAGGGGGGAGCGTGGATAGAGTGGTCAGGAGAGTTACCGACATTCTAGGGGGGGGGGGGGGAAGGAGATCGCGTGTGGGTGGCAAAGGGACACGGGAGAAGTCGTCTGACACAATCATTCAAATGTATAATTGAACCTCATGGCGGGACCCCCGGGGTCCCGAATAAACAGAATGCAAAATCGAAATTAATTTATTTGTTTTTGGCGACTCCGTCCCACCTCGCACATAAATGCCGCGACCCACCAGAAATCAATCCTCTCGTTCTTCACCAAGCCCCCGTCGTTGCCGAAATTGCCACAGTCATAAACAAAACTTTGAAACTTTGATTAGCTCTTCGTGTGGAGCTCGTCGAGAGGAATAGATTGCCGCGTCGTTCGCCTCCAACAGACATAAAATGACGTCGCAACGCAGTTTATGCGAGAGACCCGGGGGCTTATGGGACCCCGGGGTCCCGCCATAAGGTTCATTTATTTCTCATTCCATCCTAGGAGCTCGATGCGCCAATGCACGAAAAGCAGGAAACAACAACAGAACCCAGGGGCAACTTTAAAGAGATGGGGTTTCAAAGCAGATTTGAATATATCTTCATAATAAACGTTTTTGGGTTAGATCGCGTTATTTATAAATGTGTCGTAACCCTCCACCACCCGACACGGCCAATCAGTAAAAAAGTGTCAAAAAGGGTGGGGAGGGGCTGGGTGGGGAGGGTGGAGAGGGACTGGGAGGGCAGGGAGGGGCTGGGTGGGGAGGAGGGTGGGGAGGGGCTGGGTGTGGAGGGGCTGGGTGTGGAGGGTGGGGAGGGGCTGGGTGGGGAAGGTGGGGCTGGGAGGAGTGGGGCTGGGTGGGGAGGGGCTGGTCACCCCGTGGTGCCCTTATAAAACTCAACGTTTAACCTACTCACTACACTATACACGACACGATACGCTACAATTATACAGGTAAGAACAACAGGTTCCACACTACCCATCAGGGATTATTTGTCTGTCTGTCATGCACGAATGCGCTGTCCAACCAAGTTCCTACCTGCCCGCTTCGAAGGAACGTGTTTTGTAAGACAACCACGCTGGTTACACTTTAAAGTCCACCATCGCTCTTGCTGCATTTAGTTGCAATTGAGCCCACAGATGAAAAAGGGACGATATTCGACTTGTTTTTGGTGTGGTTAGTTATAAATAGCATCCACGACGTCAATCCCTGTACCGAGTTTTACCGAGATTAAACCCTGAGATGTGAAGACGGAGAATTGTGGCTGAGAAATTAAGAGGTGTGAGCGGAGGGAATGAGAGATGGGCCATGGAGATGATAGGGGATGTCGGCAAGAGTGAATCGAGGAGAGATCTGTGGATTGAGATTTGACGGTACATGGAGGGAGCTGTGTGGGATGGTCTTGGAATAAAAGGACTGTAACCCTTCCCTGTCTCTGCGTGTTGGTGTGAAGAATATCCGCTCCACCCCATTAAGACTGGAAACGATTCATCTTCTTGGTTCTTTCGGTAAAGTCACGTAGAAGGGAAGTAATAAAATAATAAAAATAAAAATAATAAAATATTATTTTATTATGTTTTATTTTTATTATTTTATTACTTCCCTTCTATTTTAATTATTTTATTACTTCCCTTCTACGTGACTTTACCGAAAGAACCAAGAAGATGAATCCCTGCAGTCACGAAAGCTTTAGATCGAAACTGGAAACGATTATTAAGCATTATGGTTTCGCAATTGTACAGTGACATTAGAAAGTCACATGATGAAGAAATGAGACCAGACATGAAAGTATGTTTCATCTGTTTAGTGGATTAACTACATGCAACCTTTCCCACATCCTCAATACGTCGATTTGGATCATGTCGTTCCATTTGAATGTATTTGATATAAAAAAAAAAACACAGAATCAGTTGGTTAGTTCCCGACTAAAACACCCTGAGGTGACACGTTATTTTTCAAGGGAGACTCAGCCGGCAGACAACATCAAAGCATTCCACAATTGAACAAATTAGTTCTAAGGGTGCAAAACTAGTTTCTATTGGCCAAGACAAATTCGAGAATCTATCGAAATTGAGAGAAATTTAAATAATTGTAACTGTTCGGATAGCTACCGCCTTAGTGCTTCTTGGAAGCGAATCACCAAATAACACATTGTTTAAATGCAAGCCTATACAGGTCGCAATACTGCAACGGGGATCACCGTTGAGCAATAACAGGGACGTCTATTGTAGTGCACACAATCGACAGGAGGAACATGAACATTTAGCTTGCATAGATAGCATTATTAATGTACGTTGAGTACCATATAAATAACCCAACCTGCAATGGATACCCATAGTCATTTATACGAATTCCTTAACCACCCCCCCCCCCCTCAATTCGCGTAA